TGACATCTTGTCCGATTTACCAGTAAAGTATTTAGTTGCAATATTTTCTACATGTTTTACAAGAAATAAGTGCATTATTTTAGTCGATCAACAAAGTAAAATAATATTGGACCTTATTTAAATTAATATATCAATTGATGCCAAATAACAATAACTAAAGCAATTGTAACTAAATAAACATTAGTTATTAGGGATAATAAACTATACAGCTTTCTCTCCAATCCCCCAACTACAACAAATCACGAACATTGTTATTATTTTATTGCACTAACACTTTGACAGACCATTAAGTTTAATGACACGAAGGTTTAATGAGAAAATTCATTAAGAAAACGTATTGAAGTGACAGAAGTAATAAAGGACTGAGATTTTGTGCTCTTTCGAAAGAAAAATAATTATTGACAGGTTCAAGAACAAATTAAAGTCGATAGTTTTTCGTCTCCAAAAGATAGGTGGATGATAATATTGCAATTAGAATAATGATAGCTGGGTAGTATATTTTTGTCACCATCCCTGTTCTTCCCATGAGTTTCGTAAGAGCCGTTATAAAGATATCACATTCACGTTCATTGGCCAGAGCCCGGACTATGGCTCTCTGATAAATCGTGAACCTTTTAAAATGCGACCTCTAACCGGCCTGACGAGCACAATGTATAACAAAACCTTTTTTGTAGAAGAGGACTTCTTCGTAGTAGTAATATATATTAGTTTAGGAGTTGACTATTATGGGCTATTGATAAAACCGATAATATTTTTTATAAAATGAAACGATAAACTAGCGTACAAATCATCTGGTGAGGAATCGTCGCCCATAGACACCCGGAACACCAGAGGTGGTACAAGTGCGTTACCGGCCGTTTCGGGATTAGAAAATTGAAAATTGTTGGGAGTTTCTGGGATCGGGGAATTTGGGGAGGGGGAAAGAGGTACAATGGGCTTTCGGTAACCTTACTCACACAACAAAATACAATGAATGCTTTTCACGTCGGTTTTGTGTAAGGCCGTGATATCACTGCGGTCAATCCGGTCCATTCGTGCCAAAGCATAGCTTTCCCACACTTGAATTGTAAAGAAAGAACTTTAGTCCCCTTACCTGGTAGAAATAGAACTTATTGATGGTAGTCTCATTCTTGGTGATGTTCTTATAGAAAGTGTCGTTGAACTCTGCATAGAGCGTGCAGTTCAGACATTGTTCCTCCTCCATTTCTCCAATGACTAGTGTATTCACATCTTGGTAATGCAGTACCTGGGGATAAAGAAAATAGACTTTTTTCAATCAAATCAAAATGATAACAATGTTACTATGAGCTCACAATTACTGTTAGGTGAGTATTGAGAAACATTTTATTGGTGGAAAACCTTATGTGGGTTAGTTTAGTTTAGTTTTTATGTAGTTGAATTTGTCGCAACAATTATGTAGTAGAAATTGTTCTTCAATTGTAATAGTTAAGTATAATTATTATAATCAGAACGTTTCTCGCTTAATCTGCTCTAGAGAAATTAATTAACACAACTAACATAATACATGTAAAATTAATCCTAGACCTGACTGAAACACTCACGTACTATTAGAGCAATATTTATTCGAGATCTTCACAGTTTAATCTTTACTTTATCCCAAATTAATCTTGTATCACTAATGAAATCTTTGATACAATGTAATGGAGAGAATTAAGTCCCAAAGCGCCCTCTAGCCGTTACGATAAGTGTTCAATTTTAGCTCACTTAGAAACAGTTTAAGGTATTTAGGATTTTGTATGTTAATTTTGCTGATATGTTTATGAAGGTTATGTAAAATCGAACTTAGTAGAGTGCAATATTGTATTGAGTTGCAGGCCATGCTAGCGCGTCGCGACTTGTGTCTACGATGAGTGGGATAAACAATCATGCAGGTTAAACGATCGGCATTCTATTCGCAAGATCAAAACCTGGAGAAAACCATTAGTCTATTTTAGCAAGTGTGATTATTAATGCTGATTCCTTGTCCATGACATAACCTAACGATGATATGACGGTTATGGTGACAGTGTAATTCAAGCAATCATGATAATAGGGATGATGACAAGGTATGAAAATAAAAATTTAATTAGTCCGTCAGATAATTAATGAAAATATATTAAACACGTATTTCTTTTCATTTTGTCTTATAATAAAATGTAATACTTAGATAAAACAAATCAAAGTTTAGGAGTGGGGGCTAAAACGTCATTTCTACGTATAAAATATACATAGAAGTGACGTCACGCGACATTTCAAATCTATATATCGTCGAAAGTATTCGTTGCTGTAAAAAAATAAAAAATACGTGAATAATGTTTTAAAATAATCTACCAGACGGACATTAAAATAAAAATTAGTCATCTATTCAATAGGGTACTGTATTACTTTTTTAAGAATATAAATTCACATATTCCTAAAATTCTTCACATTTATATCCATAAAATGTGATGTCTACTTCAAAATCTTTTAAAGCATCCTAACTAAGTTTTTATCCCATGGAAAATATAAGGTTCCTCGTCTCAGACAATGAATGGTAGATATAACAATAGTAATTTAGTTAATAGTAAGGTCGCCTCATTGCTGGCACTTTAATAGGCTATGTAAGTGGACGATTAAGAGGAAATTTCAATTGTAATGTATGTTTTATTAAGGTTTTGTATCATTTGAGCAATATTATTTAGTCAAGGACTTATTAGGTACTTATCTAACTTAAGTTTATTATATTGCAGAGTATTCAAAAGTTTGATGTCTCTCTATTAATCAAATTTTTTTTTGAGATTCTTGTCTCTCTTTGCCTTATCTACTTCGACTTATAACATTGTCCTAAGTAAATTGCAAATTGCAAAAGATTATTGCGTCAAAATTTATAATATAGAAACCTGTATTGTTATAAATAGATATTAATTTCAAATGAAAACCCCTGGAGATATATTTCTGTTTCCACCTATTAAAATCCTCCATTTATATGTAAAATGTTACTTTGAAATATATCGTCAATAGGCCAGGTGTGACCCTTAAAAGGTCACATCTGGGACACCTTAATAGTCCCCATTGAAAAAGGTCTCATTTACATTTTATTAATTTCAAAATTATAATTTAGTAGACATTGTTACAATGTTAATCCTAAAATAAATGAAGAAAGTTTTCAACCATGAAAATGACAAGATAATGAGGTTGTTTAATACGTAATACCAGATACTTTAACATTTTATCATTCTGTATTTATATTATGTGTGGTAGTGGCAGCATTCACGACTTACATTTGAATAGACCACCAGGTTACTTGCGCAAAACTAAACTTTAACTCATATCAAACAAGGAAAAAAATACTTTACTTACTATTTCCATAAACACAAGAAATTATTGAATCAGTAACAACAGTTGAGCAGCTAAATCAAAAAAGTTACCACACGACCCTATACACAATACATCAAAAATTTTCATCTTCTATGAACGAATAAACAAATATCTTTGCAATATTTCCTCGGAGTTGACGAAGGAATCAAGGGCAAAGAATCAGAAGAAATCGTTCACACATAACGGCCATTCGTCACTGACTCCAGAAAAGAATACTAATGGCGCCGCAAAATAAAGACAACAAGACGAACGCATAAATTTGTACTCGGATGATTTTATTTGAGTCCTACATTTCGTAATTTGTTTTGGGGACGCTAGGGAATTCGTCGAGCGTACTAAACCCATGTTAATGAGTGCTTGAGTTTCTTTAAGGAAAATTAAATATGAAATTGAGAAAAGTTATCAAATGAAAATAATTTGGATGGAAATGTTTGCATCATAGAAGTTATAAATCATCACATATTTTGTTTCATTTAAAGTCAATTACAAAAGTACTTATGACTATCTTAACTCACTCTATCTAGACATAGAGTAAGTGTTCGAGACTATCATTATTACCTTCAACAATTTCCAACTCCTTCGCCGGACCTAAATAAACTTCATCGTCATCTTACTTAATATGTCCTCGTAAAGCTCAAAGCAGTTCTCCTACACCAACAAAGATAAACTACTCAACTTTCCCCGACACTATGACTCCAAGATAACCTATAAAATGGCCCTTTAATCAAAACACAGGTGTTTTCACCCAACCTTTTCAGGTTCTTGCTAAGAAATTGTGACCCTATCCATAAAGGTTAAGGTAAGTTTTTGCATGCGGTAGAAAAGAAGTGTAATGCAATCAATCAATTGGACAGCGATTCAATTGGTATTTGAGAAAGTGATCTAATTTATCAAAATTTATCCGTGGCGCTTTAAATTAATGCGCCTCGTGGCTACCCAGGTGTGGTTTAGTACGGTGATGTATTACAACCACGATATCGGCTGCAGATTACTGATTTGCAAATTACACTTCAATTGTTTTAACAAGTTTGCTTCCGAACTTTCTACTTAGGAAGATTTAGTTGAACTTAGGTGATTGGGTCGTGTTTTGTTTGGTGTGTTTTTTTTTACTTTTAATGTCATATGTATTTTGAGATATAATTGAGGCTGAGTTATAAATTTTGATTACAACTCAAGAAGTTCGTATATAGTATTAATTCTAATTGAATTTGCAGTAAAAGCAAACTGACAAAGACTTTTATATCGAAAATGTTACGAAACTACGTCACCTGCTTAAATAAACAGAAGGGCAAAACAAATGTTGGTGTTTGGTAAAAGGAAAAAGTCCCGTAGTTGGGGCCCAGTAGCGAACCTTGGGGGACCCCTTAAATCCATCTAATTTCCTCTTAATTTCCTCCGTGTGTTTCTTTGTAAGGATAGCGTAAATAATGATGAAGATAAACTCGATTTATTAAAGAAGTGGTCGGATTAAATATTTAAAAGCATTGTTCTATTAATGAAATAATGTTGCATTGTTTTGCTAAATAATAACAGTAGTGTTTATAAGAATTTTACTTAAAACCTTTAATAATTAGAACCTTCTTGCCAGGAAACGGGTCAGTTTTCGTGAGCAATTACCTGGGGTATAAATACTATTCAACTTATCAATTTTGTAAAACAGCACATTTTTTGTACCTTAAGGAATTGAAACCATAACATAACATAAAACCACATCGAAGGGGTAGGTAGGAGGTAGCACCCATGTAATAGGGAGTGAGCCTATTGCCATATACCTGGCACAATTCTGGACACCGTGCTAACGGGAAGTTTTTCAAAAAACCTAGTAGTACTTTGCCCGACCCGGAAATCGAGCTCGAGACCCTCTGACCGGCAGCCGTACTTGCCACCACTCACTCTGCCAACGAGGGAGTCTTAAATTGAAACCATTTTATTCATAATTTATTCAATCAATTACCATCACACCTTCTCAATACCATCATTTATGTGATAGAAAAAATTACCTATTTTCGAGTTCCAAATAATATTGAGTAATATGTCTGATATCCCTTCCACCCACCGTTGGTACAAATTCAGTACACTCCCTACAACTGAATTAGGTACAACATCCACAAAACTTTTCCCTCTGGGAGTGTCGTGGTTTAAGAACATGCGTGCCTCCTAAACTTGGCAGGATTTGAACCAGTTACTGGTATAACTTATGTAATTTATATGTTTGCTGGCATATTCTATTACTTGGCATGGCTAGGAAACTACGAGAAATATTGTATGTATGATCGTAGGTATGGATCCGGTGAAATGTTGCTTTCCTGTGTGAAACTAGCAGTATCTTAAAGTACATTTGTGTTACCGACTGGAATAAACATTAGTAGGTCTTCGTTTTTTAATTTTTATTAGATTTACGATTCACAAATACTTCACATTTTTATAATTAGGTAGTAAGTTACGTATTTTTATAGGTCTTTTTGTTAATTGTAATGTTTTAAACGACATTATGCATTAAATTACTATGAATGAGATTTTTTATATATTTGACGAGCCGACGTTAGGCCACTATCTGTCGCCTGGTGGTAAGCGATGATGCGGTCTACGATGGAGCACGTCTGCCCATAAGCAACCTATTCATTCACTCGGGTCTTGAAGACAGCCATGATAGTACTTTTGGGGAGTAGTTGCATTATTTTATCAAATTGGTATAGTTTATGTAGTTTGTGTTCAAATATACCAATAGCTTTATTTACAATCTCGACGAAACGATCCGAAAAATCAAATTAAATGCTAATTATTTACGTTTCATGACAAGTTTAAAGAAAACTGTACTCTATGTTAAAGAAAAGGACACTCCGGGCGTCGGGGATCGCGAGACGATCTCCGGCTCCCGTAAACATGGTC